ATGCTTCAGGTCTTTATAACTCAAGAGAACACCAATTACACATTAGTAATTTTAACAACAAAAAGCACAACACACATAAACGAGATGCAGGTGAGGTAGGATTAGGGCCAGGACAAAGCAGGCAACAAACCCATCATAAAACCACTACAAAAATTACCTAGAAACTCACCTCTCCCTAAATAGAATGGATTCTGATGATAAAGCCATCGAATCAAAAAATCGATTAAATGAGAAGTGTCATGTATACCTCAAACTCACTTACATTCTGTTATACACACACACACACACACACACACTTTCAACAATCCCAAAGCCACCTTCAAAACTCTCCAACATTGGATCATTAGCCAAAGCATGTCTGGTTTTCTGGAACTGCAAACATGAAATGGGGAGAGGGACCAGAGGAAATTCAGCCAGAGCAGAGGGAACAATGGAACACTGGGTTGGGTTTAAACCATGCTTTGCAGGACACAGAGAATGTCTAACCTAGAGATCTTTTTCTGGCCCAGAGTGAAGCGGATGATTTTGCTTTGAGATGACTCCTTGGGTGACACACTGCATGACAGGAAAGAAAAAAGTGGAAGAGATGAGTGAGAAAGAAGATACATTAGACATACAAATAAATAACAGAGTCTTATGACAATGGGAAAGCTCCTGGTTTTTTCCCCCTCTGCCTACTTTTTTCCACAATATGCAGCTTTCTTTCTAGGTCAAACTTTACTGATTTGATTTATTTCTAATGTGAGCAAATTGCTATTAAGATTAGCTAAGAACTTTCACTTTTTTTTTCTTTTTCTCCTTAAACACCAAATATCTTTTCTGCCTGTTGTTAGCTTAAGGCCTTCTTCTCACAATAAGACCCTAAAACAAGGGGACTCTGACAAGTAAATTTTATACCTTTCTAAAGTACTGAGATGTTTGTATTTCACATGCTTGTCATACCACATGATTTTCAGATGAATGTCCTGATATATCCCATCAAGTTGACCCAAAAAAAAAGAGGGGGGGGTATAAATGTTTGCTAGTCTTGGGAAGTTTTGCTCTTAATGCTCTAGAAATGGTCACTTAAAGCCTGTTGGGTATTCTTTGGTTTTTTTTTGGGGGGGGGGGCAGCTGGCCAACACAGGGATCCAAACCCTTGACCTTGGTGTTATCAGCACCATACTCTATCAAGTGAGCCATTGGCCAGCCCACTTAAAGCCTGTTGAACTTCTTTAATTCTGTTTTTGTTGGACCATAAATTTGTATATATGAAGAATCTTGATTGGACTTAATAAAAAAAAAAGGTAACAATTATTGACCTCTGAAAAATAGAAATATTTATCTTTCTTGCATCCATATGTCCTGTACCATGTTTATAAAAAGATCTGAAGTGAGAAACACATGTTGGTTTCACTAGTCTTAGGAAGCAAAGAGACAGAAGAGAATGGCAAAAAAAACAAAGCGATTTTCTGGATTATTTCCTAAACAACTGAATATTAATCACATGTAAGGTAGGCACAGATGGAGAGGGAGGCAAGTCTTGGAGACTATGCTCCTCTCCTGGACTCCAGACAGGGGAGGAATTTCATGGGGTGAAATGAGGATCAAGTTCTCAGCCACCATGTAAGTTGGGACAAGAGCTGAAGAGGTAAAGTGAGTCTCCACAAGGCTGTCAGGAAGGAGGTGCCCTGATGTCTCTGTGCCAGGGTTTCAGACTTCCTTCACCAACTTCCACAACTCCTTTATCAGCAAATTTCCTGGAAAGCTGCCAAGTTTTAGTGTTTGCTGCCCCAAGAGGTGCTGAACCCAGATGGATTCAAAATCGTTTTTCGGCATGTTTGTATTTGGTAGCATTCTAACAGAGGACCATAAGAAGCTGGCATTTGAAGCCTCCACCAACATGTGGCATTAGGGATCAAGGGTCCAAAGCATTACCCTTAGGACTTTGGTTATCAAAGAGAACTTGAGGCTCTAGCCTCAATACAATGGAACTGAGCCAGTGATGTAATTTCATCATTCATAAATTTATAACCAGAGTGTTAGCATGAGGTATCTCATCCCTGGACCTTGAGAAAAAGATTATCCTTTGGAAGTAAAATTAGAAAGTATCACTATATAATGGATAGAACTAGCCATCTACAGAAGTAACCCAAACTGGGCAAGACAAAGGAGTGAGTGAGGACACACAGCAACTCCAAAGCTCAGTCCCTGTAGGGTCGGGGACCATGATGGCAGGAAGCCCTCTGTAGCTGGAATACATGAATGTAAAAACCTGGCTTACGTGAGTTTGGCTGTTCTTCAGGTAAAACATTTATTAATAGTAGGATGTTGTTTTCCTACTGGGAGACAGGTGCTCTGACTGGAACATCTGGTTCTTTTAAGAAAATGAACGCCTACCATGAACACCTCAGGCTAGCATAGCTCAGTGACACACGCCAGTGTTTCCCAGTGAATGTTCTTCAGAACTCTATACAGTGAGATGCTCTGTGAAATAGAAGAGTGCTGCGGTCAAGCCTGTAGGATGCTCCTTTCCACACCCCCCTCTGAAGATTCTCAATGTACACCTGTTCCTCTCCCAGGCTTCCTCAACTCAGTAGATAATACCACCACTTACCTAAGTGCTCAAGCCAGAAATCTAGGCTTCACCTGCGATTCCTCTCTTTCCCTCACTGCAGAGTCAGTCTGTTTGCAGGCCTCCTGGCTCAGTCTCCCACATATCCTGAATTGGTCCATCTCTGTATCTGCTCCCACCTCCTTGACCCACGCCTCTATCACAGAACTGCAAAGGGCTCTGAACCAGGGATCTTCCTTCCATCCTTGCTCCCCCACAATCTTATTCTCCCAAGAGAAGCAAAGGTGCCTTTTTAAAACTGTGAATCAAATCAAGTCTTTCTCCTGGTCGTCCCATGGCTTCCTGTCACCCTTACAGCAGAGTCCAAACTCTTTACTCAGTTTAGCCAGCTATGACGTGGCCTCAGTGCCACACTGCACAAACTCCAGGGACTGCCAGTCATGCTGTCTTCCACATGAGTGGCAGCAGCCCTCTCTGCTTCCAGGCTACCTCATCATTTCCCCCTGCCCTCACCCACTGAGAGGTAGCCGCACTGGCCTCCCCACTGCTCCTCATGCCAAGCTTACTCCTACCACAGGGCCGTGGCACAGCTGCTCCTCTACTGGATCTACTTGGCAACTGAGTTTTACGTGGCTAGTTCCTTGTCATTCACCTCCCTCCAACTTCAGTGCCATGTCCTTAAGAGAGACCTTCCCAGGAACCCAACATAAATTAGTAATCCAGTCCCTCTGAATCCTGTCATCTTATAATTCTCACCACTATCTGATATTCCCCCACCCCGTTTATTTGCTTGCCGGCCTGCCTCCCCCAGCAGCACGCAGAGAACAGGCACCTAGGCTATTTCATTCATCTTTGATTCCCAAGCACCTAGAACGGTGCCTGGCACTTAGAAAGCTTTACACTAACTAAAAAAATGCATATTGGCAAGTTCAGGGATCCGAACAGACCTGCCATAACAGTTATAACAACTTAAGCCAGATTATCTTCCAATCTCCCCCCACCACAGAGCTCTTCCCCTGCAATGTAACCCAAGGTAACACCCCAGGTAATGATTTCTCTTCAGAACAGTCCAGGAAATGATGCCCTGATCATTCGAATCATTTGGGTCCATCAGGGAATGCCTTCCACTCGGGCATTTTTCCAGAAAGGGTGCAGTGACTGGCTGCTTGGCTGTCTATTCCTCATTGCTAGTCCAGGCATCTCTCCTGTGCCACCAATTTCCATGGATATAATTAGATAATTAATTAGAGGACCTGATTTACATTATACCCATCACTGCTGGTTTTAATACCATCACAAGTGGGAAATAGCACGTCTCATGGGAGAAAAAAGCTGTAACTCTCTATATGGCAGCTGCTGTGTCTGCTGTGTCTGAGCAGATTTATGCTTTATCCAAAGACAATGGGTGATAAAGAGTATCAAGGTGTACAAGAAGCCTTAGATTATTAATGCTGGGGCTTTGGGAGACCGGAAAGAAAAGTCTTACTCTTTAGCACAGATTAGATGAAATCAAGCCATCAATTTGATCAGTGACATTTAGGTTTTATAGTTACAGATGTACGGCTTAACAGAAAACAATTATTATGAAGTTTTCTTTAGAACTTTACCATGAGTCAAAAACTTTCTAGTTCCCTATCCCCTCCTTTTTTCCTGCTGTTAAAACAAATGTTTTACAGGGTGATCTTTTGCAGAGCTGTTTAGGAATACAGCTATTTGCACTGTAACACAGTAGATGGTAACTACGGTGGCATCTGCTTGTACATTGGTCTGACTGGCAAGCATCAGTCCCTCTGAGAACACCAGCAAACTCCAGGCCCTAACCCTGCAGAGCAGGAGAGATCACTCCTGCATAGTGGGACTCTCCCTTAGTTCAACACAACACAGCTCCCACTGTCTAAGTTCAACAAAACCCAGTCATATTTAATGGAAACTGCTCCCATCACGGATATTGCCCCTCTCAGGGAAGATGGCTGCCTCGTCCCCTGCTAAGAACCACCTGCCACCTCTCTTCAGTGTTCTCTATATTTCTCTTCTGGCAAAGCAGAGGGATCCACTGGAACAGAACTTCTGCCTGAATAAGTAAAATTACTCTCACGTCTCACTCTGAACACCCGGTTTGTAGGCAAACACACAAAAGGGGTTTGAAGTCTATTTTAGGGGCTGTTTATTGCCTATGAGTGTGTGTGTAATAAATAGGCTAGAATTACTCTGGGGGCAGCTAATTAGCTTCGGCTGCTGGCGATTCTGACCTACAAAAGTACACATCACCACCAGGCACAGAAGGAGGCCTCACTGCACCCATTTCAAGGTCACGCTAATTCCCCACTAACTACCAGGAAGAAGCTCAAATGAAAAACACATTCAGTATAGGCTAGAATTTGGTGGTGTGGAAGAGGGCACCTGAAAAACAGAATCGTTGGTTGGTGAGGGCCTCCCACCTGGACTGCATCTCAGCTTGTGCTTTGGACTGCTGATGCGGTGCTGGCTGGTGAGGCTGGCACGGGGCCTGGGGAGTGGCTGGCCCCTGTTGCTGAGGAGTGCCAGCCTGGCACTGGGAGGGGGTCCCAGCCGCCTGGGACACGGCAGGAGGCAAGGGTGAGGAGAGGTGCTGCTTCTGGGGCTGCTGCTGCTGCTGCTTGTACCGGGAGAGGCTGAAGAAGAGGCCTAGAATGGCCTTGAGGTTTCCATTCCTGATTTCTGCAAGACAATAAAGAGATTCTGGTCAGATGAGGAGCCCTTTCTTCTTCCTATTCAATGGGCTGCTTCAGCCTTCACATGCGTTTCATTCCTTTAGGATATGACAGAATTCCTGAACACTTAATTGGTATCACAGTCAATTAAAATCAGGACTAAGCTACAATGAAATTAGCTTATTCTCCCCACTGGGATAGGAGTGGATACAAGAGGCAAGTTGCAACTGGATGCCTGGCAAGTGCCGAGAGGAAATTCTCAGTAAGGACACCACCGAAACAGCAAGCGTCGCTGAGCAAGACTGTGCTTGTTCTACAAGCAAAGCGACCAACTGGGGACAGAGGCGCTCTCTGGCACTGGGCGAGACTCGCTGGGCTTCACACTGCTCTGCCAAGTCCATGTTCTAAGCGTCAAGCCACACTGAGTGTGCCAAGTGGCTGCTGTCCCACTCCAATTTACCCATTCTCTCAAATACATGGCTCTGTGTCTCTCGTCTGTTGAATAAATACCTATCATTTGGAATGGCTGTATGGACAATCTATAAGGACCTGCTTCCATAAAGAACTCTACACAGTCTCCTATATTAAAAGAAATTACAACAGAGTGGGAATAAATTTTTTTTTTATTCCAGACAATATTTTTCAGATGTTAAAATGCATTTGCCTCAAGGCATGCATAAAGTGTTGCAGAGAAGAATAAAATANCAGGTGTAAGCTTTTCAGAAAAGTAAACTCTGGTTAGAAAAGACACCTGGAGGGCCGGCCCAGTGGCGCACTGGAGAGTGCGCTGCCTGGAAGTGCAGCGGCGCTCCCACTGAGGGTTTGGATCCCATGTGGAGACCGGTTCCCGCTCACTGGTTGAGTGCGGTGCAGGCGGAACACCGAGGGTTGCGATCCCGTTGCCGGTCCCCGGTGCGGGCGTGACACCAAGGGTTGCGATCCCGTTGCCGGTCCCCGGTGCGGGCGTGACACCAAGGGTTGCGATCCCGTTGCCGGTCAGTAAAAAAGATAAAAAGGAAAAAAAAAAAAAAAGAAGAAAAAAAAGACACCTGGAGCCTAGCACCAAGGCAGCAAGCAGATGTTCAGTGCATATTTGTTACATGAATGAAAACAGAACCTTTAAATGAGGATTCAGTAACAAATGCTGTACTAGTCATAATGAGGAG